CAAAAAAACTATATCACGTTTCATGTCTACCTAAGGGCTATTTGTGGACGAAAAGACAGAAAAATCGATTCTTCGACTTCTGCCGTGCTATGTCTGCTAATTAGCAAAATTCACTCTTAAAGTATTAGGAAAAGTGCATGTGTAAATGTGTTTTGGTTTGGTTCAGATAATCAGTCAACTAGATAGCCAAAGTAAGTTCCAGATCCTAACGAGGTCCACCAACATGGCGGCTCCAAACTAGGCTCTATAATTTTGCACGGAACATTTCGACGAATATCTCAACTTAGGGACAACGCACACACCTTAAACTTGGAGAACTGTCTTCTTTATTTATCGTCTATAATATCACAATTTCCTGACTTAATCCACTGGATGGTTTTTGATTTTATTTTTTTATTGCCTGACAGTGATCGCACTCTACAGTGTTACGAACATGCAAATTCAAACCATGGTGGTTCCATAAGGAAATGAATCAACACTATCGATCTGCTTTCGGAACGTAAACTTATCAGTTTACAGAGACTAACTAGATGCGGAAATCATTTGGCAGGATGTGATGTACAAATATAAATTCATTTAAAAATACATCATTGCAGTTCTTAAAACTTGTTCTTACCAAGTTTGATTTCACAGTTTTTCCCAGTCCAAGGCGCTTTGCACAAACATGAAAATGTTTGTTTCTTGTCGTCTGCTACACAAGAACCACCGTTGAAGCAACCAAGAGATGTAGGACTTTGACAACCCTGAAGAGTTTTTGAATTACAATAAAGACAGTTCAGAGCTCAGGAAGATTAAAGATATTTGCTGAAACAATTTTCAGTCAGCTAGCAAGTCTGAGGGCGGAAGATGATTGACACTTTAAGCTAGCACGATATTGGTTATATGAACCCTATTTACTTTGTTCTTTGATAGGTTTCTTTTCCTGTACACCTGTTTGTCGGGAGCGTCAGTTTCTGTAAACACAACTGTTTTAAGAAAGGTTTATTTCCACGATTACAATGTGCTGAACAGTATTCCGTT